GGGGGGGGGGGCTGCGGAGAGGGGGGGCCTGCAGCCCCCTGGGCAGGGCGGAAAGGGGGGGCTCTCTCGCCCCCCCCCAAAAAACCCTGTGGTCTCCTTTGGCAGCGGAGGGGTGTGTGTGTGTGGGGGGGGGTCCTGCTGTGGGAGAGGGGCGCCCCTTCCGAAGTCGGAGGAAAGGAGAGGGGTTTTTTTTGGGGGGGGGTTTGCATCCAAGGAACGGGGGCGGGCACTGGTTGGGGAGGGCCGGGGGCGACCTGCCCGCAGGCAGCCCCGCGGGCCCCCGGAGGAGCCAGGATGTTGCCTTGGCCTCCGCACTCGGAGCGCCAAGGTTAAAATAAGTCAAAGAGTTTTCTTTCGAAAAAAGCACAACAGCAGCCTTGTCCCCAAGCGAGTCTCTCTCGGAGGCGGAAAGTGCGCGCCGGTGAAGAAAGTTGGGCGCCGAGGAGAGGTTAGCATGCCCCTAACCGAAAAGGGTCTTTGGCAGCACTCTTCAAAAGGGTCTCCCCACTACCACCTAAAGGAATTAAAGGAAAGGAATTAAAATCAGCCCTGCATTTTATCCTCTTGGTCCCTCTGTCTGGTGTTTGGGGGCATGCCTTTTATTTTTAAAAAAGAAAAGAAAGCGCTTGTGTTCTTGACAGTTAGATCGAGGGCCCGAAAGGGCATCACGGACCTCCAGAGAGTTGCTTTCCAAGCCCCCGGGACTTACTTGGGGTGCATCGACAGAGGCGGAAGATCCAAATCGCAAGATGTCCTAGTCTCGCTGTACGCTTCATTAGACAGGCCGCACCTGGAGCACTGTGTGCCATTCTGGAGGGAGGCCTGGCTTCAAAAAGGATGTGGACGAGATTGAGCCGGGTGCAAAGGAGAGTGAGGAGGATGATTGGGGGCCTGGAGACCAAGCCCTGCGAGGAAAGGCTGAGGGACTTGGGAAGGTTCAGTCTGGGGAAGAGGGGATTGAGGGGGGACAGGATTGCTCTCCCGAAGTATTTGAAGGGCTGTCATTTCGAGGACGGCAGGGAGGACTTGCAATCCTGGGTTGAAATTATGGGAGGAAAGGTACCAGCCGGATATCAGGAAAAACTTTTTGACAGAGTTGTCCAATAGTGAAATCAGCTGCCTAGGGAGATGTCTTCAAGCAGCGTCTGAACTGACACTTGAACAGAGTTAGAGTCCAGTGGCACCTTTAAGACCCACAAAGTTGTATTCAAGATGTGAGCGTTCGTGTGCATGCACACTTCGTCACACGATGAAATGGAATTACATAGCATAGTTGTATATATAGGTGGCTTGTTAAATTAGCATGCAAAATAGATTTTTTTAAAAAAAGATCTCACTATTTTGCATGCCAGTGTCCCATGTTCAATTAGTGTGTCATCTCTTAGAGCATGGGGAAGCATTGTGACTCAGTGGTAGAGCAGCTGCGTGGCATGCAGAAGGCCCCAGGTTCAATCCCCAGCATCTCCAGTTAAAAGGACCAGGCAACAGGTGATGTGAAAGACCTCCGCCTGAGACCTGGGAGAGCTGTAAAAAGGGGCTGTGGCTCAGTGGAAGAGCAGCTGCTTGGCATGCAGAAGGTCCCAGGTTCAATCCCAGGCATCTCCAGTTAGAAAATGATCAGGCAGTAGGTGATGTGAAAGACCTCAGCCTGAGACCCTGGAGAGCTGTAAAGGGGGCCGTGGCTCAGTGGTAGAGCAGCTGCTTGACATGCAGAAGGTCCCAGGTTCAGTCCCTGGCATCCCCAGTTCAAAGGACCAGGCAGGAGGTGATGTGAAAGACCTCCGCCTGAGACCCTGGAGAGCAGCTGCCAGTCAGAGTAGACCATGCAGACTGTGATGGAGTGGTCTGATTCAGTCTAAGGCAGCTTGGTGTGTTCTTTCCTTTGGGGAAGGGCCATGGCTCAGTGGCAGAGCCCCTGCTTGGCTTGCAGAAGGTCCCAGGTTCAATCCCCGGCATCTCCACTTAAAAGGAGCAGGCAGGAGATGACATGAAAAAGACCTCTACCTGAGACCCTGGAGAGTGGCTGTCAGTCTGAGTAGACAAGACTGACCTTCTCCAAGTCAGTGTAAGGCAGCTTCATGTGTGTGTAGCCCAGAACCCTTTCCCAGTGTCCAGATGTTCCTTAGCTTGCACATGGATGTAGGAAGGAACCTCTACTAAGGCTGAAAAATCT